TCAATGTATTTGTCCCATATAATTTTAACAATTTTAAAAGACTTTAAATATGTAGGGCCAAATTTTACTCTCAGGTCCACCTCTTACTGAAGTCTTCAGAAAAATGTTGCCTGAAACGGGTAAACTGCAAGGGAGGGGAAAAGAGGCACAATGGAGCCTATAGGCCAAATTCTGCACTCTGCTCACGTCTACAACTTCCACTGAGTTGAGTGCAACCCTGGAAATGACTGTATATGAAACATCAGCTCACTTTATTTAATAGTTTTAGATGCATGTCAGGCAAAGGACTTCAACAGTGGTGAGGAACAGAACGTTATACAATGATTAGAGGGGGGACTAGGTATCAGGATTCCGGGGTTCTATTCCTAACTCTGCCGTTGTCTCTCTGTGTGACTTGGGCAAACTGTTTAATTGCTGTCCATCTGCAAAATGGGCCTGAGGATACTTTACTGTACAGGAGTGTTGTATGTAGTAATTAATGTTTGTAAAATGCTCACAAATCCTGAAAGATGATATGGAAGAGCAAAGCATTATAGTTATTATTAAATAAGTCATCACAGAACAAAGACCTACCCATATCAGGAATATATATACTGGTATTCCAGCTGGGTTGGACTGGAAATGGGTTGATCAGAGATTGAGGCCAAAAGCCAATTTCTAAATCTAATATGCCCTCCAAAGGATTTCATCTTGTTTCATGGATTCTAACAGCTCCTGTGCTGTGCTCTTTATGCTTTTTTTCCGGCCCTGGATAAAGACTCCCTGAATAGCTCTTCTTCTCTCACAGTAATCTCTATTTAAATAAATAAACCACTTTTTTTTTTAACCCATATTTCCCCCTCAAGGAGCAAGGAGTGTGAATTGGGGCAGATTGCCTGAAAGAACCAGGTGATATGAACCAGCTAATTGGTTTATTCTTTGGAATGAAGACAACCCATATTGAAGTCAACAGGAGTCTTCCTTTTAACTTCAGATGGATTGGGCCTGTAAAGCCTGATCCCAAACCCAATGAAGTCGATGGCAAAATTCCACTGATTTCAAAAATCTTGGAATTAAACCTATATTATAGACTGAAACTGATGGAAAAGCCACTTCTGTGCTATCAGACAGATCCTAGTCCCGTTTAAGTCAATTTTAGAACTCCCATTGACTTCAGTGGTGCAGGATCAGGCCCTATTACCTATGCTAACAATACCAGGTACACAGCCTCTGAAATATTTAGCCTAAGAATAAGGCTGCAAACTCATAATTTTCTAAAATACCCTTCACATTAAGAAATAAGAACTTTTGTATCAAATCACGCAAATGAATTTTCTTTTATCTGTAGGTGCAGACACCAAGTTCTTTACACAGTGAGCAACCAGATTCTTTGCTCCTGCCGTCCTACTCACAACAGCAAGGAAATATAGGATACCATCATACACAGCAGCAGCCACTTGCTTCAAGAAGAACCAATAGCTTGTCAGAATCATCAAATATACCATAGTCACTATGATAGAGTCCCACACCAGCACAATCAATGCACGATTAGCTATAACCAATAGATGCGTGGGGCAGGAGAGAAGAAATGACTTTGAACCTACAATTTTGACTTTTGCACATGCATTCATTTCAAAGCTCCAAGGCAGTAGCAGGCCACAGAGTGTGGACTGCAGCAGACAGTGCCACAGAAAAGGAGTTGGATTCAGTTTGCACTGTTTCATGACAATATTATGTATCATCAGGCTGAGTAAAATAAACACGAATGCTATCTTGTGCAAACTCCATCACTGATTGCTGTGCGGCAGGAGAACATTCTTGTTGGTCCATCATTCTGAGAGCACTCTGATTCCTAAAGACTGTGGACAGACACATGAGGTACTTGGCCTACACTGTTTCAGTTCATCTTTTGTGTAAGAAAAGCAATGGAACAAAAATCTATAGAGCAGAGAACAAGAGATTATTTTTATTATGATTATTATTGTTGTTTTGCACAACTGCACAGAAGATATAACCTAGGCACTTTCTATAAAGAGAGGTTTGTTTCATTATTCTGGTGGCCAAACTGGTACATCCAATTAAACAGAAAGCCCAGTCACAGTTAAAAATGCTACACAATCCATACCCCTTGATTAAAGCAGTTTACCTTACCTGCTCTTTTTGATTAAAAACAAAAAACACTGGACTGTTTCCTGTTTACTCTGTGAATTGTGACTGCAAAGGAGAACTAAAAATATAAGCACAAACATGCAGCTGTATTGTTCCAGAATTCTAGTAGACTCTTTGATAATATAGAGTGGGTCCTTTTACAAGATGAACAGCCCACTTACAGATGGTCATAGCAACAAGTATCTGAAAAATATGCACTGTGTTTTGGCCCAATGACTAGGGATGCTGCAAATTATCACATATCTTTTTCATGATAACATTTGAATTTTCCTTTAAAAAATGCACTTTTCGCTTTTTTGTATGTTTTATGTTTCTAAGAAAGATTTTATGTAATTATAAAATAAAAAGTAGTGTATTGTACAGCTGTTGTAATAATGACCTATTTCTATATAAAATAAAATTATATGGAATTATGTGGAAATTATTTTGTATATGAAATATTAATTCATTTCACAAGTATAAAGTTTTTTGTGCTTTTTATTAATTTATTTTTATGAGTGAATATTTAGTAATAAATTAATGAATTAGTAACATTTTTGTGAAGGGAGCTACTGTCTCATGCTATATACATCCTCAAATTATTTTTTTCTTTCCATTTAATAATGCACATTTGTATTTGCTCTGGAGCATAATAAAGTAGCTGGAAAGCTTTACTACAGAATTTACACACATTCTCCTTCCTATGGCTGTTTAACTATGTAACTCAATTTAGACTTGAAAGTCTCACTGTAACCTTACAAACTGTTTGATGTTTGTTTCCAAAAAAACCCTATTCTGACAGCTGTTCCTCTCCTTGTTTCATCAAAGGTAACAAGAATAATACTGCTTTAGGGAGCCCCAAAAGACAACATTAAACTTGTACCTGTAGGTAACTAGTTCCTCATTGGGAAATATCATTTCACTTAAAATTCTCAAGACACTATGGGGCAGAGCCTTGGGGTAGGAGACGAAAAGGTAGCTTAAAGCTTTGTTAGGGCTTTCTTGATTCTGGAGACAGCTAGAGACTGTTTTGCCTCTGCCATAAATTAGAGCAGCTCGAGGGCTACCCTAACCCAGAGGTTCTCAAATTGGGGGGAGGGGGCAGAATGTATTTGGAGGGGCAGTGGGCATGAGAAGCTTTAGGGGAAAAAAAATCTTACTGTGCACATTCAGAGCTGGGCAGATGGAGAGCAGTGGCTGCTGGTCAGGCACCTGGAGGTGGCAGGGAGGGATAAAATGCTACAGCTACAAAGGGCGGGAGGGGAGGGGATAGCGGCTATCAAATATGTTTGAGAACCCCTGCTCTAAGTTATGTTAGCTACAACTGAAGCCGGGGGGCTGCTGCACTGGCAGGGATTACCAGAATGCAAGGTGCTCTGGCCATGCTCCCTTCCTTCTTTGACTCCAGATCAACTGCGCTGATGGGCTGATGAAGTCTTTCCACTTTCTGTCTTGACCCAGCTTCACGGCTTAATTCATCGTTAATCATTTTTTGTTTTGTTTGTCACAGTGTCTATCCAACGCATCCTTAGTCTTTCATCACAATTGTCTTCTTTAAATCTTCTGTAACAGCGTTATTTCTTGGCCTAGCCATTTTCTTATCACATCTTATTTTTTTAATTTGCTGTAGTCTTAACCATAGGTGCTGGAACGAGGGGTGCTGCCACACCCTCTGCCTAGAAGTGGTTTCCGTTACATACAGGGTTTACAATTTGGTTCAGTGGCTCTCAGCACCCCCAGTATAAAAATTGTTCCAGCACCCCAGTCTAAAAACTCCCAATATTCCCCTCAACCACTTCATTTCTGCAGTCAATAATCTTATGTTTGACTGAAGCCTATAACCAGGGGCAAAAACCAGTAGTTTACAGGAGGAAACAATAAACTTGCCATGCTTGATTTCCATTTAACTGTTATACAGGAATATGATACTCATAAGAATAGATTGAGGGCCACTGTCCATCCTTTCTCAAATGCTATTGGTCTCACTTCTACATACCCCAGCCCCATTTTGAATTGTAACATGCTATGCCAATTTACTCCTTGAGGGCTCTGTCCCACTGTATTGGGTTATTACTGAAAGAATGCGACACTACACTGGGCTATTATTATTGTTGGGTCATCATGCTGAGCTGTTTTATTGTTTTAGAGTTGTAGAGCTGATATTAGACAGCACTCAGGCTGTGCTATGTTCACTATAGGACAGTGATGCTGTGTTGGGCTTATTACTGCGGGTTGATTTATTGCTCACAGCTAGGCTGAGGTAAGCTATAGTCTCTAACAGACAGCTGTACTATTCTCAGAGTGCTGCAGTGCAGTGTTGTTATTGTAGGGCTGCTGAGCAAGTGAACTGGGTTATTGTAGAGTTACTGGGGCACGGCACTGGGTTATTGTAGGGTTGCTGGATTAGGACACTGGATTGCTATTGAAGGATTGCTGGACCACGAGTTGCACCAACTCCCCACATTTTTTTTGAAAGTCTCATGGAGATTTTCTTAAAGCTCCTAAGGCCGCACTCGGCAGACGCAGGAGAAGCTCCGCTCCCACTGCCACAAAAGTCCGTTTCTGGCTCTCGTTGGAAACGCCCCCAGCGCCCCCCAGGCGCAGCCCCCGGGACATGGACCCAGCGCCCATTAACCACCCCCCGCCCGGGTTTTAAACCAGCCCCGGGTTGCACGGGGCGCTCGCGGGCGGGGCTGTTATTGCCGGGTTGCTCAGCAACTCCCGCGCTTCCGCCTTCCAGGCAAGCAGGCCCCGATCCTGCGCCCCCCCCCGGCGGCCTCCCATTGCCCGCAACGGGGCAGCCTCGGAGCCGCCGGGCGCCACCTGCCGCCTCTTCAGGCCACGCAGGCGCAGTCCCGCCTGTCCCCCAACCCGGAAGTGCTCCTCGCTTCCCCCCGCCCCCTCCGGTTTGGTTCGTCCCACAGTCCCCCGCGCCTTCCTTTCCGACCTGTGCCCGGGCAGGGTGAGTGGCTCGCTGCGGGGTCCGCCCGCCCATCCGCCGCCATCCGCCTCGCCGGGTCCCGCCGCGCCCCGGGCCCCGCCCGGCCCGAGTGGCGAGGGGACCCCGCGCCCGGGGCACCGGGTATTGCCGGCCCAGGGGGCGGGATACGCGCCCGGGGCCCGGGCTAGGAGAGGGGCCTGGGCTGGGGGCGGGGTTATGAGCACGGGGCGAGAGGGGCTGTGGGCACGGGGGTCCCGCACGGGGCTGGGACCCAGGCCTTGTATAGGGCGGATGGGAGAGGTGCGGGTGCTTGTTTAGCAGCAGGCGGCACCTCTAGGGCTAGGGTTTGCCCCAGGTTTTGAGGGCCCCGAAAGCTGGAGCCAAGCTTGGGTCTGTGTTTTCGGGGTGTCATGGGAGCGTATGGGGGAGAGGGGTCAGCAAACTGAGGCGTGGTGCAGCACCTTGCTGTAGGGCCTGGGGAGGGGGGACTGTAGCACTGAAGCTGCATGTTTTGAAACCTGCAAGGCTAGTGCTCTGTCAGTGGTGGATTAAGCTGAAATGACAGGTTTCAGAGTAGCAGCCGTGTTAGTCTGTATCCGCAAAAAGAACAGGAGGACTTGTGGCACCTTAGAGACTAACCAATTTATCTGCGCTTATGCTCTAATAAATTTGTTAGTCTCTAAGGTGCCACAAGTACTCCTGTTCTTTAAGCTGAAATAGACTTCTGATTGTGGAAACCCTAATGTGTGAGGGGGAAAGGGTTAGAGATGACTTGATGGAAAGGCCCACATGGAATTAGACGTGTCCTTGATTTTCAATGTTGAACAGATGGCTCCAGCAAAGAAAGGTGGAGAAAAGAAGAAGGGGAGATCTGCCATCAATGAGGTGGTGACTAGGGAATATACCATCAACATTCACAAACGGATCCATGGAGTGTGAGTGGCTTTTTTTCATGCCTTGTTTGTCCCAATAAAGTTGATCTTACTTTACCTGCTTAAGTTGGCTGGTGTTTGGAAATGGTTACAGTAAGCTTTCTAACTGTTGGAAGTGGATGATTGTCATCAAAGATGCTGACTTCAGCGTGATGGGGTATATTAGGCCTCAGTTCTGCACCTGCATGTAGACCTTAGTTGCAACATCAAGGCCTGAGTGATTATGGTTTCTGGCAAATACAGTTATCAGGATGTTATTCTCACTTTACATTATTTTTTCTAGGTTTGGCACACTGCTGTTGAGTTTATAGAGAGTGAAGACTTGTACAGGAACTCTGTCATTTCACTTGGGAGCTGGCTGTGGATGTATAGTTATATTCAAGTGGGAGAGACTTTTTAACTTGGGTTTAGTTTTATAAATTTTAAGGAGCCAATAATAGGAAAGTATTGGCTAGATGAGAGAAGTTTTTCTACTAAGTGGAAGATAATTGATAAATGTCATTACTTTTATACAGAAGTGGGGAGGGGGACATGCACTGTTTTTTTCCTCTGGTGATTCAATCAGTTCCCTTTGTTGTTTTCGCTTTCTGATTCTATAAATCTATTTAATTTTATTTAGTTTTTTGAGGCTGCTTTTTTTCTCTCACTACCAGGAGGTACTTGGTCTGAAATACTGTTTGTGTCTCCCTCTTGTTTAGTCTTCCTGCCATCTTGCTCCTAACTTTTCTTCCCCCACTAGCATTAGATGTTAATCTGTCAGCAACATACAAATAGTGCTCTGAGCTGTGCTACTTTAGTTTAAAAATCTCATCCAAGGGACAACTTGAAATAAGCCCTTGGAGCCAGTTAGTATAACAAGCTTGTTGTAGTGAAATTTTATTGAAATTGTATGTACACTGCACATCTGTATCTATTTAGAAATAACTCTGGTGCAGTTGTTGCAACAACAATAAGGTTAGGATAGCCCAACAAAACCTTTTGGCTTTATATGCCTATGGAATGACAGTCTGGCTAGATCCATGGCAAGTTTCCAGTGCTGGGGATATTTATTAAAGATTAGCTAAATAACCGTTTTTTCTGTTCTCAGGGGATTCAAGAAACGTGCCCCCCGTGCTCTCAAGGAGATCCGTAAATTTGCAATGAAGGAGATGGGTACTCCTGATGTACGCATTGACACCAGATTGAACAAAGCGGTCTGGGCCAAAGGGATAAGGTACGTCCCAGGGGCTCTAATCGTGAGTGGGGGGGAAGAATTTCACAAACACACACGTGAGAGAATCTCTAAGTATCTCTTCCACTCACCAGTATTTGCTTTTTGCCTGCAGATGTTTCCTTTCTGGTATTATAAGTGATTGGGTGAGGTCTTGGGCTTAGGACCCACATCCACAAAGGGATTTAGCTTCTTGGGAAATTACTGGAAGTCACAAACCCTGAGTAAGTCCTGGTCTACACTGGGGATGGGGATCGATCTAAGATACGCAACTTCAGCTACGAGAATAGCGTAGCTGAAGTCGACGTATCTTAGATCAGCTTAGAATCACTTACTTCGCGTCCTTGCAGCGCAGGATCGACGGCTACTGCTCCCCCATCGATTCCGCCTCTTGCAGTGGTGGAGTTCCGGAGTCGACGGCAGAGCGATCGGGGATCGATTTATCGCGTCTACACTAGACAAGATAAATCGATCCCCAATAGATCAATCACTACCCGCCGATGCAGCGGGTAGTGTAGACATGGCCTTAGGCACCTAGACAATGAATGGGATCTACACAAACTAGTACACTAGGCGGGGAGTCGCCTAAACTAGCCAAGGGGAGATGCCTACCAGAGGGCTGTGTTGAAAGCCCTGCCCTTCTCATGGATAGATCTGGTCTGCAGAGGTGGTTCCTCCCACTGTTTGTGAAATGCAGCTGGGAACCCCCTCTTCACATGGGGGGAGGAGGGGGGAGAAATTAGGCCTCCTTTATAATCTTCGGCCAGGTAGCTAGATAGCCAGATTTGGGAGACACCAGTTCAGTTCCTCCTTTTTCTGCTGAGAGAGGATTTGAAAAGAGGTTCCCCACTTCTCAGGTGAGTGTCCTAACCAGTGGACTTGTGATATTCTAACTATTTTTAGTCTTTATAGTCTTTAGTGCTTCTTTTTGCTAACTGGGAGGAACTACTACATCTACACCCATGTATTTAAGCAGCTATAGAGTAGAGCCTCAGAATTACGAACTCCTCAGGAATGGAGGTTGTTCATAATTCTGAACAAAAACATGGTTATTCTTTCAAAAGTTTACAACTGAATATTGGCTTAATACAGCTTTGAATCTTTACTATGCAGAAGAAAAATGCTGCTTTTAACTATCTTAATTGAAATGAAACAATAACAGAAACAGTTTCCTTACTTGTCAGATCTTTTTTTGAACTTTCCCTTTATTTTTATTAGTTTACATATAACACTGTACTGGATTTTTTTGTTTTTTTTGGTCTTTACTGCTGCCTGATTGCATACTTCTGATTCCAAATGGGACGTGTGGTCAGCTAGTCAGTTTGTAACTCTGATGTTCTACTGTATAGCTTAAATTACACTTATTCAGATTCTTAATTTTACTTTGTTAGAAAATGATTAATGCATTTATTTACTAGATTTTTTTTACTTGTGATTTGTCAAGTTCTTTGGATTGAAATTAAAATTCAAATAAATGCAAAAAAATTGTATTTTTTATATAAAATTACATTAAATGTGGTGCATATGTAAGAGTAAAGTTTAGCAAAACAGAGACTGACCTATTTATTAAACAAAGGAATTATCTGTAGTTAATTAATTGAATTGATTATTTCTGGTCACTCTCTCATACCCAGTTTTTATTAACAGATTGGAAGAGGAAAACAAACTTTCCTGCTTTTTCAACTCCCAATCAGTTACTTAATTTTTAATGAACTAGTCATGGAACTGAACTAGTTCAGTAAACAGATGAAGAAAATATTCTCTCTGAAGTGCTAAACTTGCTTTTTGACAGCAGTAGATGCAAACTCTTGTTCCAGGTGCTTAGTTTGGTGGTTCGATTTTTTTTTTTTTTAAACTTGGTAGCAAATATATACCATTTAATATTTTTTTTAGTATTTACACAATTGAGTAGAATACGTTCAGGCCTTAACATAGGTTATAAATTTAATTTTAGACAGATTTTTAAAAATAAACTTGTTTTTAATTAGTTTTTTTTATCATCCTTATGCTCGAAGGTAGGGCACTCATCTGAGAAGTGGGAAACCCCTGCTCATCAGGGCTTGGAGGGAATTGAACTGGGGTCTCCCACACCCGAGCTCAGTACTTGTGTCACTGGGCTTAAGGTTATAAGGAAGGCTTCCTCCCCACCTGGTCATTTTGTGTGGAATTAGGTGTGTTCAGAGCACACCTACTAAATAAAGACCCTGCAGGCAAGACCTGCCTATCTTCACCTGGTTTGAGAACCATGCTGGGGTGTAGGTGTCAGACAGGCACCCGGATCCCTATGCTAGTGTGCACAGCACTATGGTGGCGGGAGAGCTTCTCCTGCCAACATAACTTATGCTGCTCCCGGGGGGGGAGGGGGGGGGAATGCCAATGGGAGAGCTCTCCCCCGGCGGCATAGAGCATCTTCACCGTACGTGTCGCTGCAGCACTCAGTGTAGACATGGCCTAAGAGTCTTCTCTGCAGCCTTGGGGAGGAAACTGGTAGAAAAGAGGGGCAGAGGACACTAAACACATCAGTCTGTTCGTGGACTCATATCTCTTCCTCTGCAGAATCAGATTCTCCTGGCAGTGGGGTTTCAAAATCTTGAATTCTGTACACCGGGCAGTAGCTATGTAGGTTCTCCTCAAAAAGAGTTTGGACAGATCATTTTGTGTCTCCCTTTCTCAACTGTTACATACTAAAAATGACAAAACATAAGCTATACAGGGATCCTAGCCTGGGACTAGCTTTGAAGGACTAGTGTAAGTCTTAATACAGTTAATGTCTCACAGGCCACTTAGGCTTCAAATGTTTTATCCCTTTGTTACATGTGGCATGTTCAGATACCCTCTTTTCAAAAAACCATGTTCTGCTACCATCAGATGATGACCATAAGTATCTGGATAAAACTTGCAAACACACATGAGTTCAGCTGTTGATTCTCAGGCAGTTAGAAAACAGTGCTTTATGCTCTGTCTAGGATGAGACTTCAAGCATCTACTTCTTAGAATATGCGCAACATGCTGCAGGTGGCATGTGACCAGGAAGAATTTATTAACATCTAATTGTCTGCCCTGTATTTCTGTTAGTCACGTGGGAGACATTTAGCTAGCCCACAGTAATGGTGCTTGTTCCTCACAGCAGACTGATCTGTCCTTATTTCCAAATGTCTCCCATTTTTATAGTCCCACTGTTTGCTTCTTGGGAGAGCCCTGGCTTATGAAATGTGCTCTTAGCTCAGGGGTGGGAAAACTTTTTGGCCTGAGAGCCACATTGGGGTTGCAAAACTGTATGGAGGGCTGTGCCTGTCCCCGTCCCCTGACAGACCCCCCGCCGATGCCATGCTGCCCCACAGGAGCGCTGGCAGCAGGGGAGGAGCTGGGGAGCTCAAGGGCCGGGCAGGATGGTCCTGAGGACCGTAGTTTGCTCACCTTTGTCTTACCTGCACTCAAGTACAGAATTGGCAGTGACAGTGTAAACACCCCAGATCTGTAAGGGCTATAGGCCACTTCTTTTAGTTATTTTCTTGGCTGAAACATCCAGGAACTCATTTTACATATCAGGTGTGATAAGACTCACTTTGTTTAAGGGTGCTCTGCTACCTGTATATCACTGAAACTCAGATTGTCGGTCTTAAATTCTACAGTGAGACTAAAATTGCATTCATGCAAATTGTATTGAAAATGAAACTACATAAACTTGTGTAATATTTTAGGAATGTTCCCTACCGCATCCGTGTACGTTTATCCAGAAAACGCAATGAGGATGAAGATTCACCCAACAAACTCTACACGCTGGTTACCTATGTACCAGTCACCACTTTCAAAAGTGAGTGTTCATACTCTTCTCCATCACACGTTTTCTGAGCAAGGCCGTTGGTAAAGACAAGCCTACTAAGCTTCTGCTGCAATAGAGACTCTTCCAGCTATCTGTGGACATTGTTAGCTAGCTAAGTTCTTGTCAAAGAGCTTCACTCTTAAATTTCTGCTGGGGGGGCGAGGGCGGCTTCTCTTGCCCAGCAGTTACCTCTGCTGCTCTCAGACCCACACAAACAGAAGTCTAAAGTTGAAACTGAATAATTTTGGGATTTTAATCTTAAATGTTGTGTGTCACTAGTAGCGTAAAAAAAATTCATAAATGAGAGTTAATTTGTACCTTGATGATGGCAGTCTATCTTGTGGTTAACTGCTAATTATGGCTTTGAGTAAATCTCCTTAAGTGCATCTAAGATTTAAAGTAGACTATCTTGGTCACTGGTACATTAATACAACTTAATTTGTTTTTTTTTGCAGGTCTACAGACAGTCAATGTAGATGAAAACTAAACTGATTTTCAGGACAATAAAGTTATAAAAATGACACTTATTCTGACTAAGATACCTTATTGAACAGTGTGTCTTTTAATGCTCAAAGAACTACAGCATATCCAAATCAGCAGTTGGTGGCTAAGCATCTGAAATTTCTGCTTGCTTTATTAGGATGTTATTTTTATCACCCTTCTGCTCTAAAGGTGTTTTTAAAAGATACTGTTTACAAAGACCATGAGGACAGCCAAGGAAATTCACAGCAAAAAGATTTCCCCCCCAACCTGTAGTTAAACTGCTGTAGGAAGTTGAGACCTGTATCCTCTAAAACATCTCGTTCTTGCCCGTCAGAGGCAAGATACTAAATTACATAGACCTCAGGTTCAATGCTCTGTGGCAATTTGTAAAAACAGTGTACACAATTACTGGTTGTAGTGGCTAAGGGTACTTTTTTTTTTTAATTAGGTCTCGTCTCTTCACTGATGCTTTTAGAAAAACATGAAGAGTAACTTGTGCAATATGGGCTACAAACCCCCCCACTTTGAAAAGTACTCTTTACACAGGAGGGTTAGAGGGAGTGTCCTGCACATACCTCATGAGGTATTCCTGAGTTGAAGAGTTGATACAGTACCCCTACTTCAAGTAAAGTCCAGTACAAAAAGATTTAATTGAAAAGTGCATGTTTTCACAGAACATCAGAAGCAGTCCATGTACACTTAGCAAGACATACAAATCTGAATACAATCAAAAATATTAAAATAGTTTCAATTACCAGCATTGAAACCAGTCTTCAGGATTAGTGCAAAGAAAAAACAAAACCCAAACCACCACATAAACTGCAGACAGTAGCTGAGAAGGGTTTTCCCCAATTAAAAAAACCAAGCTCTGTAACAAAACTCCTGGAGCCAGCTTCTGCTCTCCCACTATGTAATGGGTCTGCAGTGTCTTCACAGTGCAGACAGATGTTTCCTTTTACATTCAAAACAAGATCATCATAAATCAGTGGCACAAACTACACACCCCTTTAGCTTTTAAAGCTCTCAAACTGAAGAGCAAACAAAACGCCTTTCTTTGCAACATGTAGCTTTGGTGTAACTTCAGTGCAGTCAGTTTCAGGAAAATTTGCTACTATGTATTTAGTTTCATGTGTTCAGCTAGTGACTGCTCACTCATTCCATTTGGTTTGAGACAGTATTGATTTAGCTTTGCGTTCTCCAGTTTTGGTTTCAGTTCTAAAGGCTTTTCAAAGAAATTTACTAGTGACTGTTCAGTCAAGAGTGATGCTAAAATTTGTTCAAAGGAGATAGTCCAGTTCCCTTCAGTCCCAGGTAAAGATTGAGTCTCTGTAGGAGTAGTCTTCACAGTGTCAGTAAAAACAGTATCCTGGTCTGAGGCAGGGGCCTCAGCCTGTGTCTCCTCAGTAAATTCATCTGATCCACTTCCCAAGCTGCTGCTTCTTTGACCCACTTCTCCAATCTGAAGTAATAAAGTGGTCACAGTGGCAATGGCTTGATATAAAGAGTTTTCCTCTGGATCTTCATGAAACATGCTGTACAAGGTTTTGCAGAACTGGATGAATTCCCTCTAATAGGCAAGGGGAAATTATTGTAACAGGTCAAATTATTGATCGCACCATGTGACGGACACGGTACAATAGCTGTAAAAGTTTGGGCAGTAAGCATAAGGTGACGACAGGATTTTAGAGTACCATACAGAAGCATCCTCACTTGTGAGCTCTTGCTACAAATTTAAGACATTTAGTGGTTTGATAAAATGCCAAAAAAAAAGTTACAAGGATGTACTCTGGCAGTTAGTAATACTTTCCTAATTTAAAGTGCCAAAGACTGGATTTCAAACAAGCCACGTGTGTCTGTGTGAGTGAGAGGGTATGTGTGTGGGAATCTGGGGAGGGAGATTAGGATTTCATGGGAATGGGGTAACATCTTCAGTCAACCCTGAAACTGACAGTGCATTAAGCACAACACAGGCGATCTAGGATCTGCATTTAGCTGCTTGTTGGTTTCGGCCTGTAGAAAACATAGATATGGCTTGGACCTAGCTATTTGAGAAATTACCTCTTTCCCAGTACTACATTAGTGTATTTGCAGCCAGTGGAGGTACATGGGCTCTCAATTTACAAGAGAGACCGTTGCTGGTGGGGTGGTCAAGGGCCCCTACCCTTTTGGATTAGCTTCACCTGGTCCAAAGTAGTTCAAATTTTGGATCTAGTACACGGAGTAATTTTAGATTTGTTTGTGGTACCTGTCATTAGAAGGAGCTGCAGAGTTGTGCTCACACATTTTAAAAAGGTACTTTAAAATTACATCCTCAATATATAATACCTGGCTCATTTTTGGCATTGTTTTTTCAGTTTTCGTATCCTTCTCTTTGGCTAAATCTTTAAGCATCTGCTTCAGTTGCTTCTGGTAATCTACTGTATCACCTTCGGTGGGGAAAAAACACAAGCATTAGTTTTAATTCCATTGCAACAAATTCAAAAGCCAGAAACTGGAGAGGAGAAAAAACTTGACCCATAAAGAACTTAGACCTGGACAGCTCTATTATGTACATAATTATACGAACATAATTTTATAAATTTGACAGCACATACCATTTGTTTTTCCAAATACCAGTGGCCTCGAAGTAGACAATAAAGGATTCTTTAGTGGTGACTGACTGTCTCTCTCATTTTCTGTGAGAGCTACCCAAAAAAATGAAACAGACCGAGATCGTTAGTGATACTTGACCTGGTGCATTGATAACTAAGAGCTTTATCGCATTTTAATCCCCTGAGCTCAGGAAGAAAACTAGCATTTATGCTAAAGCTGATATTTGCAGGTGATGGTTATTTAAACATTGCCTAGTTATGTCAGACTTTATGCTTGTGTTAAAACAAGCAGCTTATTGTAGCGGAGTAGCAGGAAATGTTGCCACAAGTAACACGTTAAAAAAAGCTTCACACACGCTGTATAAAATATCACTCAAACTCTAGTCACCTAATCACATGTTAGACGGAGACTGTATCTCTGCAAGGTCAAACCAGTAGTGTATGCACAAATCTTTTCAATAAAAATAGAGTACCAACCCCTTAGAACTACCTCCTGTATGGAAAAAGGCCCGGAATCGATTGCAAGACATCTCAGAGTACAGCAGCTGTAAGCCACCTTGTTTATAGGAATACATCCACAAGTTTCAAAATTAAGCTACGAAGAGCTTTGACTGGAATTTTAAAAAATTGTAACTAACTAGCACCAGTAGAGAGCACATCCTCTCCTCTGAGCGAAGCCATGTCCATTCATTCAGCAACTTCTACTTCCCAAAGCGTCTACTTATGGGGACTGGGAGAGGAAGGAAGGATGATCTTTTCCTTTCAAATTTCTTACCAGGAGGGATGTGCAGCCTGTATAACAGGTTTATCTTTTCATTCATTTCTCCATTGTACATAACATCTACAAGAGGAAAATAAACAGTGCACCAGAACATTTACTTCCACAGTTTAAAATAATCAGCTCTTTAAGCACAACAGAATGTTCAGATGTACATGCAGCCAGTGTATTAAAATGAAATATTTAAGCTGTGCCTGACCAGCAAGTAACCAGCTAGGTTGGTCTTGTGCATAGCCCAACTGTTACTAACCATGAAACACATCTAATTTAGAAATATTTGGGGGCCACCATTTACTTCTTAATACTTCCCATACACCACCACTACCATCTTGTAGGATAAGCAGAGCAGTGAGGGCTCCCCTATTTTATTTAAATAACCAATGCAGACAAGGTACTGTTTAATTTACTCAAAACATACTGTGAAGGGTTTTTTAAACTAGTCACATCCGCTGACATTAAGAGTGATACAGTGACGCAGCTCCGTATCAAAAATCAGTTCTAGACATTAAGTGAGGAGATCTATGTTTGAATACTGGATTTGGCATCTCGCTACAGGTAAGGCAGTTTCAACTTTGGCAAGATATGGAGGTGCACAGCCTCATGCCATTCAGACACTAACTGCATCTCAAGAATACCCTAGCAAAGGAATCTAGTTCACTCCAGGTTGGGTTACAATTTTGGCATTCCAAGCACAGCCTGTGTACACGGAAAGAGGGGGTAGGCAGGAGGTTGCTGTGTAAGAGAAAAATAAGGCCCCCAAAGCTAGACCTAGGTGGGCTGAGATTCTCTACCGTTCTGCCCTTTAGTTACATAAAGGCTAAATGGATTATGAATCACAAAAGATACAAGGCAGCTCTCTCAACTGGGGAAAAAAACTAACATGAGAAAAGCGGATTTCTTAATCTCCAAATAGAAAAGAATGTTTAGACAATTTTACACCTGGTATGACTTCAAACATCTTTTCCTAGCAAAAATTAAACTTCCGGTGATTGAGAACTGTGAAGCATTTTAATATGATTTTTCAATCAGGTCCTTAGGTTGCCTTAGAATTCTGATTACTTCAAAGTGAAATCAGTACAGAAGAGAGATTAGCTAAACTGTACTCAAGAAAAAGATGTCCTTCTCTTACTTTGGCACACTAACTGAAGCCAGACCACCCTGCATCCCATCCCATCCCATCCCGCCACCAGCCCAGCCCAGGTGCCAGTTGGATTGTCACAAAGGTAGCTACCTAAACAGCTAGCAAATCCTTTGAATTCGATGAGATGGTCCATATTTTCATCCAGAAGTCGGAATGTTCTTTCAGCTAAAATTTGAGTGTGTTCCCCACATGTCCATGGTGAGACAAGTTTATAAAGGTTAGTGAACTGCTGAGAGTCTATTCTGTACTGCTCAGCATAAGGCCGATTTGGGTCATGTCGCAGAATTACAGGTCTCATCCCTTGCCAGTAGCAGCTCATTAGATGTTCTCTCTAAAAGGAATCAGAAGCCGAAGAAAAGAAAGCATTATTACATAAACTATTAAGAATAGTAGTTGATACAGACTTAAATATTTTTTAAAGGTATGCTGGAACGGTTAACCTCTTTTTGTAGGTGTGATGATACCAAGACAATTCCTAAGAAAAAACCACTGTTCAAGTCTCAAATCAGACAAGTTGTCTCATGATTT